CGGCTCTACGTGTGGTAATATCTTAATGCATGACTGAACTATCTGTGGATATTATATTATATCGCACAGTAGAAAAAGATCAGCCTCACCGCCATTTTTGTCTACAGACCCACCAGTGTCAGAGGAACAACTTGTTTGACCTGATTTAACTCTTAAACCCCAGAATTATTTTCCACGTTTTGACAGACTTTTTTCCAGATCTCGTGAAACATGTAATGGGGGATACACGCAAAAATTCATAAAATTGCTAAAACTGTCAAAAGTGAATAAGAAGAAAAATTATAAATTTATTTAACACTTCCGAGTCAAAATAAATCTATTCCGATTCATAAGAGTCAAGAGATTGTATAAGCAATAATGCTTCATGCGCCCTGCGATCTGATCGGTTGCTGGGACCGTCCACTCGGGGAGTGGGCGAGTTTCAGTTCACTGGACGTTCCCATCGTCCACTCGGGGTTATCAAGAGTTAACAGTCACGTTGTATAAAAGACGGCCACCACCTGTACAAACTGTCATCTCTTCATTTCCTCCCCTACATATTTCTGACATCATAATGACAGTGTGTAAGACGTCCAACTGTCTAAGGCCACCATTTTTCTCCTCAACAATCCATTTCGACTGTATCTTCTCTCAGTCTTAACAGACATCATTTGTATAACGCAAATCCCCGCTCAACAGCAGGTATGCACTTCACAATCTATACTATTACCCCAGCAGACCAGAGAGCATTCCGAAACAACCTCAACTTCCTGGGAAGCATACAGTGCAAGTGGCCATTTATAGGTGCTAAAACACTAAGATACTGACAAGATCTTTCGCTGTCTATGGCCGGGTACCCATTCCCACCTGGGTGAAGTGAGGAAAATTCGTGTAAAGTGCCTTTCCCAAGGACACAACGTCGGGCCCCCGACTCGAACCCCCGACCCTGCAACCTCACGATTACGAGCCGGGTAGCCTAACCACTAGGCCACCGATGCCACAGTCTTTCATTCTGTCAGCCTCAGGTGATGGCATCAAGGAAAGAGCACTTTGCTGTCCCGATCATCACCATCGTCTGCCTGCACAGGACCATCCAGCAAATCAAGCTTCCTGAAAAATAAAAAGATTACATATTATAAAGTGCAATTATTACATGTGAAAAAGCTCAGGTTCTTACACTTGTGGTTAAGAGGGATGGTATTTCTCTCTAAAAGCACCAGCTTCATTTCCGATTCCAAAAAAATATTCTTCTCTGAAATTTAATTCGAGATCTAGTTAAAAAAGGTTTCATTAATTAAGGGTACGTGGTGAATTTGATGGGGCAGGGGTGTAGCCCAAGTGAAGGATATATATAGGGTCGAATAGTGCTCAGTAATTGTGTCGTTGGGGCCAAAATTGGACTATCCAACACAGTCCCCAAAAAAATTTCAAGTAATATTTTACTTTTACACCCGTCTTACATTCAGAATATAGATCTAGCACTTTTCTTGTTCATTTCTATCAGTTTTACACAAATATCGACTTCATACCCATCACAAAAATTATTTGTTTTACAATTTGAGTATGACTACTAAATTGTCGCAAATCAATCGTTTTCAAGAATCAAAATGAAAAATTTTGTAAAACCTTCAAATACAATATGAGCCCACAACACCCCCC